CGAAGTCATAGTCGCGCTTGGCAGAGCGCTCCCAGTCGTGAAAGAGGCCAGAGTGCGCTCGTTCTACTACACGCATGAGAGAGGGGAGGAGCCCAATCGGCCGAGTGCCCCCCGACTCCTTGGACAGTAGGAAGTATATAATGTACCTTACCTGCGATGGGAACTGTGCCGTGCGAGAGATAAACATCACGAGCTGAATGAGGCAATCTTTGCCTTCGTCCGAGAGCCAGGCCCACCAGCGTGGGTGCCAGTGGTCGGAACCTATTCCCGTCCTGGCAGGAAAACTCAAACAGATGTTGGTGAACAGCTGGCGGTCCAGGTGGACCAACGGATGGGCGAAAAAGGCGGCCTCCCAGGGTCGGTCCGAGGGACCCGTGCTTTCCTGTCCATGGGAGCCCCAAACATCGAACCATTCTTGCGCAGCCCTGTCGGCCGCTTCCCGAGGATCAGCAAGCTCGAGGTTGGAGGCGGAGTAACCCGCGACAGGAGGAGGAGGGGTACGCCACTTGCTGATCCTGTGGATGAAAGAAGAGCCTGCTACCGACTCTTTCTTCAAACGTTCACGCCATTCTTTCGATCGTGCGGCTGCCTGCTGCCGTTCGATGGTCTGAGCATTGCCAACTGCACGACGCTGGAGACCCATGATCTCAGGGGCCTGCTCCATGAGCGCTGGGCCCACGAGACAAAAGGCGCGATATCGTTCAAACTGGACGATTACGTGCTCAGCCTCCCCCCCCCCCCCCCAAGTCGTGAGCCAGCCGAACCTTTCCCCCTTCGATGCGACGCTCGAGCTTCGCGCGTCGCGCGCGAGCATGCAGCCAGGTGCCCTCCTGCTGGGCAGCCTGTGCGAGAAAAATAAAATCACTGGCGCGAGCGGCGACCCACCGCCAAGCTCGGGAGCTAGGTGTTCACCTGGGGCGTGCGTGCGATTGAGGACCAGCGAGGGGGGCCCAAGTCCACCGAGGAGGACCCCCCCGACCGAGGTAGGATTGAGGTTCTTCCACGCCCAGGAGATTCACCAGCTCTGTTTCAGCACTGTGTGAAATCTGCTTCCAAAGCTGATCGAGTTGGGTGCAATTTAAATCGTCCTGATGATCGAAAGCTGGCCACTGTGCCGGTTGCGGAACTGGTCCGAACGGCCTCTCCATTGGGAAAGGTCTGGGCTTGGCAAGCCTCCAGCCGCCTTTTGCTCGTATCCTGGACTGCGTGACTAGGCGAACAGGCGAGTGCGGTGAAGCGGCGGTATCTAGCACTTCTACCGTGTCTCCGAAGGCATGCTGGATGCGGGCGTCGACCACAAAGAAATCGATGATACTGCCACCGCCGACTCCTGAACATGCGGTAGTAGAAGGGAGACGCACAACTCCACCCACATCTTGGCACCAGCCCGTCTTGAGCAAGGACTCTCCCGTCTCGTTGAAGTCTGCTTGAAAAACCCAAGGTATGTCGCACTGCTTGATGACCGTTGCGATGGCCTCCAGAATCGACAAATTTCGAATCGTCCAACCTTCTCGTGTCCAAAAGTATGCCGTGATAATCATGAGGCCACCTTTCTGGCCTGCAGAGCACCAGCCCGCAGCAACGCGGCCAGACGAACCAGGTGGTGAGATATCGAAAGTATTCATGCCTTCAAGGTGTGTAAGGCCAACATTTCTTGGAACGAAGAAGCCAACTCCACTAGACGGACGCCCGCCTGGGCCGCTGACGGCTGGAACCAAGGCTGCCGTGTAGTGCCTGTTGAAGCTGGCCGCCTCGATGTCCTTGGAGATGGGCGCACGCAGCTTATGCTCTTGAAGGAAAGTGATGTGCATGGGGCCAATGATCTTCCTTGTGGCGGCCTCGTCCAACACATCGATGGCCTGCGCCCAAGAAGAACAATTGAAGCCTATGAACTCGAGCCCCACATTGCGCGTGCCGCCCTTGCCGCGGCGACGTGGGGGGCCAGTCTTCGGTGAATTTGGCCATCGCAAGCAGAAGTGTGGCTCCTGCCACGCCTGTGGCTCCTGATGCGAGCCTGACCATGTAGAGAAAGATGTACTGGGTACTGCGACAGCAGGAGACCAGCTGTAGAACTCTGGCTCCTGCCACGTGCTGGGCTCGTGCCATGAGCCTGACCATGTAGAGAATTGTGTACTGGTACCTGCAGCCGTGGAAGCCAAGCTGCCGAGCCCGTGCGGGCTAAAGAGGCACTGGTTTGGCCTCTGCCTCCGCCCTGCGAGCCCTGGCACGCTGCAGGGCCTCCGCCAGCTCCTTGCCAGCGGCTTCACGACCAGCATCAGGGCCAGCATCAGCGCTGGCAGCGCCTGGCGACGAGCCCTGGGAGCCCTGCGGCCCCGCGGCGGGCTGGGCAGCCTGCTGGGCCTCCTGGGAGGCCTGGGCAGGCGCCTGCGGCGGGCCTCCCTCGGGGCTCTGGGCCGCTGGCGCCTCTGCAGCCGCCGCCGCCGCAGGAGGGTCCTCGCGCCTGCGCTTCTTGAAGGTCTCGCGGAGCACCCTGATCTCCTCGAGCTGCTCGCGCTGGGACTTGAGGACGTCGGCCCCTGGCCCGAAGTGCGTACGGACCGCCTGCTGCACCGACGCCTCGAACGTCTGCTTGAGTTTGTTGAACTGATCCCGCTGCTCGGATGTGATGTCCAGCCCCTCCAGGTCGAAGAAGGGGCCGTCCTCGATGACAAAACTGGCTTCGCCTTCGCCCAGCAGGGCAGAGAGGTTGATGACCCCGCCGCCCTTGTTGGACCCCTCAGGCTGAGGATCCTTGACTGGAGCCGACAACGCCTTCCTCTCCTGTGCCAGCTTGTCCTCCGCGACCACCAAGGCGTCCGCCGCCGCATCGGAGCGAGACTGGCACTCGTCGAGCCAGAGCTTGGCGTCGGCCAACTGCTTGGCACGCTTCTCAAGCTCCCGACGAGCAGCCCTCTCCGCCGCAGCCGCCCGCTGGATGCCTTCCTCCAGGAGCGCGGGGCGCTCTGCAGGGGCCGGTGGGGCGAAGGCGCTCTCGAGCTGCTGGAGCGCCTGCCGCTGGGCTTCCGAGAAGGCCTGACCGCCGAGGGTCTGCACCACATCGCCGATCGCGAGCGGCTCGGTCCTCTGCACGGTCTCCTCGACGTCCTGGTACCAATCGGCCTGACCTTGGCGGTTGTCCTGCCACCAGCCGCTGCCCCCGCTAGCCCAGACGCCACGGGGCTTGGGAGCAGGGGAATACGATGGCCGCAGGGCCTGCCCACAGTTGTAGCACGACTGCTTATTCTTGTAGGTCCACCGGAAGCCGCACTTCTTGCATCCCACGAAGTCCGTCGAGAACGAGACCCTCGGAGCAGGGGACTTGCCGCCTCCACGCCTGCGGTTCGACATGGCGGCGGACTGAAATGCGAAGAAATCGTGACGAAAGCACTTGCTCCCCCAGGAGCTCACGTACACCACCCGAGGGCCTGGCCTGGGCTCGCCCCCAGGGTGGTAATCTAGCTGTCCTGGCCAGCTGCCTTGACAAAATGGCAACTTGAGCCAAAATGGCTACGGACCGCCTCCAGGCCGAAGGCGGCGTCCAGGAGGAGGAGGAGGAGGAGGAGGAGGAGGAGGAGGAGGAGGAGGAGGAGCAGGAGAGGAGAAGAAAGGCAGCTTCCGGCTCCGGGGCACCCCCCGCCTCTCCCGCCGCCGCTTCCGCCGCCGCCGCGGGGAGCCGCCCCGCTCCTGCCGCCGGCCCGCCGGCCTGCCGCCGAGGGAGCGGGCCGCGCCGAGCGGCACGCCGAGGGCGACTCCCTCTCGGTGGGTGTCGCTCTTCATGGGGGGGGGGCGGCAAGCCCGAAGCAGAGACAACGGCCTAAGCATCAACAGACCCCCTCGAGCAATGAAAAAATCATGACGGGAGGTTTTTCCTGATTTTCGGCCTCGGGGGGCCCTCACCGGGCCTCGGGAGCGTCCAAAAACGACTCAGGATGCAAAGCCGGTCGTGGGGAAAGGGTCGGGACCTCTGGGGGTCGACGTAATGAAAAAAACATTACGTCGGGGGTCTGGGATCGGCACCCCGAGGGCGACTCCCTCTCGCTGGGGGTCGCTCTTAATGGGGGGAGCGGCAAGCCCGAAGCAGTTGGAAAGATCGTTTACTCAACACAACTAAATGGCCACAGCCCTTGCCACATGTGCTGCCTGGAACGTTGCCTTATGGATTTCGCATATACAATGAGTTACAAAAGATGATGTTATTTTCAAGCGGCGTTCAAACGAGCTCGGCAACATGATCGGACAACGGGTCGTGGAACAATGACGATTCGTACCATCGATCTTGGCAGCGACGCACGCTAAAGGCATAGCTGAATCAGAATGGAGGTGAGGAGGCCCTCTTTGGAAGGGCAGAGGCGAGGTTGAGGATGTCAGGGAGAGGTAAGTAGGAAAAGGAGGAGGAGGAGGACAAGGAGGAGGAGGAGGAGAAGGAAGAAAAGGAGGAGGAGGAGGAGGAGGAGGAGGAGGAGGGGGGCCATGGGGAACCCAGGTAGGAGCTAAATTAAATTGTTACAAACCCTACCCTGACGATGAGCAGCAGCAGCAGCAGCAGCAGGCCTTCGACGGTCAATCGCTATGATTCCCACTGTCGTGCACTGGCCTGCTGCAGCACACCTGCAGCTGCCGCCAGCTCTCTCGCCAGCGAAAAAAAAGGCACCGCTCTCGACACAGAAGGGGGTGAGCCAGGATGACATGTTCACATATCGCTTTGGGGTGGATGATCCGAGATCTCAGGACGGCCTCAGAGAAGAGGGGGAAGAGGAGGAGGAGGAGGAGGAGGAGGAGGAGGAGGAGGGAAGGTCGGTATTGATCGGGAGGAGGAGGAACGCTGCTAGGCGAGGGCCTTCCTACGCCTACGCATCTTCTGCGATGCAAGCCTTTCGGAAGTACTGAGCCGATCTTCTGAAATCTCTGAACTGGGAAGTTTCTAAAGAGAAACTCTGAGAAACCGATCCCACGGAACACATCACATAAAACATCGTTCATCTTGATTTTCGTTGGCTCCTTTACTTCACCTCGGTCTTGCACTTCTTCAGCGGGGGCTGCAGGGCTAAAGAGGGAGCTGCTGCTGCTGCTGCTGGCGCCTTTTCCAGAGCCGCCTCCTCCTTGAAAGTCTGCTCTGGAGACGGCTCGGCGCCAAGCGCGTCCAGCAGCTTCTTGGGCATCAGAGTCTTCTGAACTCCGAGGCGCTCGAAAACGAAGCGCTGCGTGGCGTCTCTAGCAACGCCTGCGGGGGCCGAGCTCGCCAGCACGATGGCGCCCATGAGGATGGCGCCATCCTTGGCCGTCTGCCTGATGGACCCCATCCTCTCGATGAGATCGCCCAGCTTCTTGACCTGATCGGCCTGCAACCATTCGAGGCTCGTGAAGGAACCTTTGAGCTCGGTGGCGATGCGCTCGGCATTGGGCAAGTTCTGCACGAACGAAGCCACGCCCTTGATCTCGGCCTCCCTCGTCGGACCCTTCTGGGCCGAGCTCAGCCACACTTTCTTGGAACCCTCACCGTCGGAATCGAAACTCCAAGCCGTGAGCAGGGACCAGATGTTCTCTCCGCCCTCGCCGTACTTCTGCAAGAACGCCTCCAGGAGGCCCGTGTCAAGATCCGCGAAGAGCTGATCGAACGTGCACGACCACTCCGTGATCAAGAGCTCCTCCCATTCCGCCAGCTCGCTTTTCGAAGAGATCGGTTCCACCATCAGCGAGTAGGATTTCAAGGCATTGGTCAGCTGGATGGTGCCGACGACCTTTGCCAGACGTCTTTGCCTCCATGACCCTCTTGACCAAGAAATAGGACTGCATGGCTTGGACGATGGGCTGAACGCCTGGAGGCAAGCAACCAGCCCGCTCGGTAGCCGTTTGCAGGACCTTCGGCGTCACCGAGCAGCAGCCGTCCGACGATGCCAACTGGGTGATCATACTCATGATTGGAGTGCTGATGGGGCTGGTAGCCACGAACTCGTTGAACGTCTCGAAGGCGGATGACAAACTGCTGGCCTTGTCGGCTAGCCTCGGCGCTCACGTAATGGCACCCTCCTGCAACCAGAGGTCGCTCCACAAGCAGATCACGTTCTCCAGGGCCATCCCAGGTATTCGCATCTTCACGGCGTTCGCGCTGACGAGTAGATCGGCCCGACGTTTCGCTTCCTGGACCGCCGCCCTCTCCTGAACCCCGATCTCGAAGGTAAGGATGGTTTTCGCCGCGGCAGAGAGGAACTCGAAGCAGTCTGCATCCGATGTCATCTTGCTGGTGTCCCCCACGCCACAGTGGATGCCATAGATGGTCTCGAGGTTGTCCGCGAAGTTTTCGCAGTAGTTCAAGATCTCCTCGAGCCCCTTGCCAATCGCTTGCAAGAAACCGTCCTTCAGGGAAATGAGCTCGGTACTCGTGGTGCTCTCGGCCTCGGTGTCGCCCAAGCTATCCATGTACTTTGAGAAACAATCGAAATGTTGAGAATGCGATTCACTCGTGACGCCCACCATCAGGACCTCGTAGAGCTTCCCGGTGTAGGATACGTTCTCCCCGCACAGAAGATCATTGATGCTGTCGCGAAGCTCAACGATGCTCTTCTTGACGTCAGAGTCGAGCTCCGACCCCTCCGATGTACCTGCGATCTCCTGGAATGGCGTTCTCTCCCACGCTGCGCGAGCCCAGTTGGTAGTGCCGGCCCCTACCCTGATCATGCACCGAAGTATGTTGCTCAGCTTCTCCTTGTTTGCGTGCACCTTGAGAGCCTCGACCCTCAAGTCCCGAGGCATCTTCTCGCTGGCATCTACGGACAGCACCTTGCCAAATGATCGCATTGCATTCAAGTCAGCCAGGAGTTGAGGCACCCATCCAGTAGCAGGGTCGATGCTCGAGCTGTCGACGGTCAGGTCGTTGATGCTGCGCTCGCCGACGATGTGGTCGCACTCCGCCATGAGCGCCGTAAACTCAGTCATGGATTCTCGCTTCAGGACCTTGTCTGCGAAAGTTAGGACCTAGTTGTGCTGGCACTGTGCAAGGAAGTCGCCATCGCGCGCGATGTCGCCAAACGTCGCCACCGACATGTGCTCGCTGCCACTGCTGTACTTCATCGTCCTCAATGCCATCACGTGGGACTTCGGGCTTGACTGCGACAAGAGAGCGCAGCATACTGCGAAGGCCATGTTGGACTTGAGGGGATCGTTAGCTTGGACGATGATGTTCCGAAGAACTTTGCTGACTGCGTCAACGACGGTATCTGGCGATGCTTTGAGAGTGTCTAATGTATTCTTCGTCTCCTGCAACCAGAATCCAGTCCGATATAACTGCTCTGAAACCTCTGCCGAGTCTTCATGCATCAACGCCGATGCCTTGCTCGCCTTGGCGATCAACCTGAGGAGGCAAAAAGAGGATGAGGCGGCAACAATCAATGCAAGGAGGAGCAACCGTCGCATTGCTCCCGCTCCTGGACCAAACACCTCCAGGAGCGGGAGCAATGCGACGATTGCTCCGGCAGGAAGACGACGAGGTTCTGGAGATGGTGAGGTGGAGAGGGGGAGAGAAGGGGGGAGGAGGAGAGGGAGGAGGAGGAAGAGGAGGGGGAGGAAGAGAAGGAGGAGTCGGAGGAGCAGCAGCAGGCGGAGGAGGAGGAGGACGCAGCCTCGTGAGGAGATTCTCGTAGTCGCGCTGCCTGTACTTCTTGTTCCACAGCACGCTGACCGACCAGTTGGCCTCCGTCTCTTCGAGGGTCTGCTTGCCAGACTCCAGCAAGTTCGCGTTGCCGCCTCCCTTCTGCGCCTTCCTCGTGCTCTGAACCTGGCCCTCGAGCTTCCTTGGCGCCGTCGCCGTCGGCATCGGCGTAGCGCAGCTCCTCGGAGAAACGGGCGGCTCGCATTCGGCGTGGCCGAAGCTGCCAGGCCCGCTCCTGCGCGACGCCCCACTCGCGACGGAAATGGCATCGTCGGGAGGGCAAGCCTGAGCGAAGGCAGGCGCCGAGCAGCTCGAAGCTGAGGCCGAGAAAGAGTCTGGCGGTGCTCTCGTCGACGGGAGATCCATGCCAGTGGCACCGTCCTCCACGGCGGCCCCCTCGGCACCCGTGACCTCGTGGAAGCCCTCCTTGTTCATCAAGTTCCAGTCGTTCGCCAGGCCCTGCTCAGCGGCGGTGCCCAAGTCGTCGTGATCCTCCTTCCGCGCGATGGCCGAAGTCTTGGAGACGCCATGGCGGTGCCTGTAGGACGTACCAGGCGTCTTGTCTGGCACAAAAACGCCGGACTCGCCAGTCTTGCCAACGCCAGTCTCGAAGCCAAGCGTCACGTTGATGCACTTGACGAGGCTCTCGCGCGAGTCGTACTGAATGGAACGGACACGGGCGAACGTGAAGAGCTCTGTGAGGTCGCCCTCGACGAAGGCGTCCTCGAAAGACTTCGACTCCTCAACTGTGGAATGTTTGACGGTCACTGCTTCGGTCAGCTGGCACTCGTCCTTGCCAGATGCATGATCTTCACGCAACCTCTCGTGTCTGTCTTGCTCCTCCTTATCCGCTGCCTTCTTTGCGATGACGTCCTTAGCGGTCGTACCTTTCGGGTGGTACTTCTTGCGGACGTACAAGCTCTTCCCGCACTCGGTCCCCATTGGCGTCTTCACGCCAGTGGTGCTGCACGCCAGTGGTGCTGCAGACTTCACTCTTCGGCCACCACGAGTAAGCACCAGGCGTGTGGCGGTCGAACGCGTGCGTGTCCTGATGGCACGTACCGCACGTCCTCGCACGAGCTTGCAAGTTCGGGTGGTCGGATCCATCCGTCTGCGCCTTGCTCGACTGCTGCGGCTTCTTCTGCTTCCCGATCAGCCGCGCTGGCTGCTTCGCCTTGGCCGCTGGGGCCTTGGCCTTACCGTGCTTGCCCATCAACTGCCGAATGAAGGTGCCTCAAACGGGAATGCGAGCCCTCCGAACGCTGGAGGCTCCAGCGAACCAAGCGACTTGGCCGTCGCTGTGACGGCTGGCGAACGCCAAAACGGCTCGCGCCTCAAAGGCTATCTGGGAGGTGGAAGTGGAGGTCGGAAGGAAGGAGGGGTTGAGCGGAAGAAGTTGACACAGGACCCCCAAAGCTCCCAAACCCCAAAAAGCCTCACGAGCTCGAAGCACCCAGAGCCCCAAGACCCCCAAAGTCCAAACGTCCGAAGAGCTTGAACCCCCAAAGCCCTGACACGCTGAAGAGCCCCAAAGCCCTAAGTACCCCCCAAGAACCCCAAAGCCCCAAGAACACCTAGAGCCCTGAGAGCCTTACCCAAGATCCCTCCCAAAGAGTGCCAGGTTGCCCTACGCCCTACCAATATTCGTATCATGCGATGCCGATTGTGTACGGCACTACGGCACGCACTGCAATGGAATGCAATTGATGGCATACGCCCAACGTTGCGCACCGTAGTGAGCATGGAGTGTTGTGGCGACGTTTGCGAGTGCGTTTACTTACTTGTTTGCTGGAGTGCGTGTTGAAGTTGAATATTGGATGTGAGTCGCTTGCAACCCAGCTTGGATACTAAATACTTGGGCCTTGAAGCCCGTGTCGGTGTATGCTTGTTTTGTCGCAACCTGTATGTGAAAGCACGGCGGTCGATTTGCTATTTGCAATGCCGTTGGGGGTGACGGGGATGCCAGGGCACGAAAGCCATCGCAGCGCGCCCACCTACGCAAGAGACAAGGATGCACGAGTACAACGGACTACGCAGGATTCCAAGATGCTCGCAGGCATGCAATTGCTCATGGCTCAAGGGCGTCGGGATGCAAGACCAATGGCGCTCCTCCTTTTTAGCAATCCCAGGCTGCGCACGCAGGCGGTGCGAGTGTAAGAACTCGCAGAAAGCCGAATCTGAGCAGGAAGAATATATAACTCAAACTAAGGGCTAAGAGACATAATCAAATCGCACGCCAGCAACTTTGGAACGTCAGTCACCCCAGCACGTCTAAGAGGTGATAAGATCAAGCATGGAAGGTGAAACATCGAAACATACCAAGCCGTCAGAGACATCGAAGCGTAGATCAATCACATTGAAATACACAGCTCTACCAAGCATTCAGTCAGGCATGATTTGGGAATCCATGCCTGCCATGGCATTTGAGATGGCATCCCCCCTGGCATCACCAGCACCACCAGCGACATCAGGTGGCAAGAAAAATGGGTGCGTCCCCCAACCACGCAGCCGAACGCATACCCTCGGGACCATCATCACGACGATTGTCTAAAGAACGCACCCCAGTCCCAGTGAACGCCAAGGTGAGGTCCAGCCACATGTTGCCCAGAGCGGGCGCTGACTGCTGCGAAGGCGTCTCCAAAGGGTCGCGTTAGCGCCCTTGAGCGATCCCCCGTGGCGGCCCTGGTGCAGCCGCGGACGCCGAGTCAAAAATGGGATGCTCGAACTTGATCAAACATCAAGTTCTTGGCCGTCAGCTGTGCGAGTCGGGCAAGGGCCAGGGATATCTTTTTGTCGAACGCACCTCGACCTTGCATGGGATTTTAAGGGTGAGATATGCGTCTTTGGTGTATCCTGGCGGTAATTTATCCAGGTTGATGCGGATGATGGGGCCCTTTTATCCGAATCGTTCCGTCATCATTTTCAATCAACCCTGGTGCCGCAGCCATTGTGTAGCAAGAACAACAAGAAATGTAAGTAAGGAACGAGAAACCACTGGTAGCGGACGCGGCTGAATTGTTCGAGATACAAACAGCCCTCCGGCAACAAATAAAGAATTGGATCCGCAGGCACGAGGGGCAGCGCCTCCTCTCTTCCTCCAGAAAAGAAGCCACAAAGCCCGAACAACTAAAGAACCCAGGCCCAAACCGCCTAGAACCCCCAAAGCCAGAAAGCCCAAATAACCCAAACTGCTTCGAACAACCAAGAACCAAAATCCTAAAAACAATCAAGAAGTTCTAGACCCACGCAAGCTACTTCCTGTCTTCCAAGAGCACCCACGAAGCCACTTGGGCCAGCGACGCCTCAACAAATCTAGAGAAAAACGCTGCAAAGGCAAATGGTCCGACACTCACGTGCGTTATTCGCTTGTAGCATGCGTTTGCATTTGCCGTGCACGTGGTGCAATGTACATGTGAATGCATGCGGTTGCATAGTGGTGGTGTATACATGATTGTGTTTGAAGTATTGTGGGTGGTTCCGGAACGCGGGCACGCGGACGGCGCGCGGACTCAAAATTAGAACCCTCCCATCGGACGCCGTTTAAAAGTTCGAAGTAACCCCGCGCAAATACGCCAACACCGACGCCATGCGTAGACGACGCACGCATTCCCATCACGTACGCGCGCGCCCGCCGTGCATTGATCCACCACCTGGCACGCGATGGACCCGTGGCAATATCCAGTTGCCCCGCCCAGCTATTCCAACCCGAAACGCTAGGGCCGATGTTAGGTTTATCCAACCTGCGTCTTTATCGCTCACATGTTCGCGCTGGCCGTAGGCGCAGCATTGCGCGTCGCGCGCATTGGCCAGCGTGCTCACGCGCGGCGAACTCATTCTGAAGTCGCGGCCCACATTGGCCAGCACCGAGTTAATCTTCAACAACGTGCCGTCATCGACGTCGTAACAGTAGACCGACCAGAAATATCCACGCGCACGTGCGCGCTCAGGCGCACTGCGCCGATCAAAGCCGTTGACGACTTGCGAATTGCGAATCCATGTGACCATCCCATCGGCCAACGTATCGGGTCGACTTGGGACCGTAGGCCAACGCGCATGTTCTTTCATTCCCAAAGAACCGTTGCGCGCTCGAGTGGAACGATACCCCAGCCGAATACGATGGGCCATTGTTCCCACCGAAGGCCGTCGGCCGCCGCAATGGCCTCTTGATGTCAAATCAAGTCAACATGCCCGCGAGCTAAATTCCCCCGCAGCAACCGCGCGTGTGCTGGTCGCGCGGCGAAGCCCAATGCCCCCGCGTCGCCCACGCGGTCGCCACTGCACCAACGACAAGATGTGTCGAGGACGAGCTTCTGCGCATGAGCCATTGCCACGCTGGCGCTTAGCGCGCATTGGTTCAAAACCTTCGGCATCCCGTCGCATCCACAGCGCCGTTACGAGGCCGCCGCCAGTGGGCGCGACCAGCCGCGCTAATGGATGCGCTGTCGCCGACGCGACGCGCATTGGGATAGCAACTAGATCTAGTCGTGCGCGCAGCAAAAACAACGCAGCAATCGCGCGCGGCAAGCGCGCGTGCGCGATGCACTTGAACGTGCGCGCGATGCGTCATGCGCATCGTTTGCATCGCGCGCAAAGCGTATGCTCCCTGCGCATCAATCGTGCATCCATTTGCTGAACGCAACACGCCATGTAAACCGCGTGACGTGCACGCGCCACACATGCAATTCAGGATCACAAAACTCGAGCGTTCAGGCGCGATTCAGGCGTGGTTCAAGCCGATTCAGGCCGATTCAGGCTTATGCAGGTCTGATTCAGGTCGATTCAAGTCAATTCAGGCCGGTTCAGGTTTGATTCAGGTCGATTCAGGCCTATTCAGGTCTGATTCAGGTCTTGTTCAGGTCGATTCAGGTTGATTCAGGCTGGTTCAGGTCGATTCAGGCTTGTTCAGGTTTGATTCAGGTCGGTTCAGGTATGACAAGCACACGTAAATGTCCCCTCGCAGCAACGCCCGCAAGTGCCACGCGATATAGCATCGCGTACATCGCGTTGAGCGGCGAGCGGGGGCTTGCGTGCCACATGCCAGGCTGCGCAGGCTGCATTGAGCGGAAACGTTCGGCCTCGGCCAATCACGCAGGCGTGGAGCTTGCCCCGAGGATGATGGTTCGCATGGCATTTCCTGTCATTCGCGCGGCGTGGCTCATCGCTGCCTGCGCCCAACGCCGACGGCGTGCAACGGCGGCCTCGGGCCGCGCAATTGCCGACGGCGTGGCCCTTTGCGCAGGGGCGAGAGGCGGCGCCGCCATGCGCGACATAGCCGCGCGCGGCCAAGTCCTGCGGGGGTCGCGCAAATCTGGCAGGCGGCTGGGTTGGCCTTGTGGCAAGGCCCCTGACTGGGGCGCCTGTAGAGGATCCTTAATGCCCGAACAGCTGCCTTACTGGCGTCCCCGATGCCGATGACCCTCAACTGGACGGTGCAGCGAACTCCTTGGCCGCGCCGACATGGCCCCGCTCGCCGACTCGCGCCATCGCCACCGCGCGCCAATGCCTTGCGCGGGGCGTCGAGCCAACGCAGCCATTTCCCCATTTCCACGCGCAATGTAGCGGCGGCCGACTGGCAGCGGTCAACGGTTGTAGTGGTGAGTGGGGCTGGTTATGGCGGGGCGGGGCGGGGTGGGGGGGGGGGGGGCATCGGCCAGTCGGCGTTGCGATGTTGGGCACAGCAGCCGCCCAACTTGCCGACGTTTGCATGAATGATGGGCCACGCTGAACCTTGCGCGCATGCATGCGTTACGCACAAGTTTGCGCGAGAAGTCACGCGTTGGCTAAGGCGCGCTCCCCAGCGAGCGACGAGCGAATTGCCTAACGACCTGGGGCTGCACTTGCGCGCAGGTGCATTCGTTTGTATACACGCTAGGCCGATGTTAAGTCGAACAACCAAATGGTTGAAACTTGATGCCAAATGCCAGTTTTCATTCTCGGAGTGGAAAAGCGATTATACCAACGCGAAGTATATCAAACATGA